TTCTGGCAAAAAGTCTTTGACGATTAGCAATGTCTACGGCTTGGGTGCGGGCGCTGTGGCCGACATTAATGGCGGTAAAAATGGCCGCAAAAATGTGGACGAAAAACAAGAAGTGAAGACAATTACCAAACCTTTATATGAGAAATGTATGCAAAACTTCATTCATTTGTTAAATAACTTTCTAAATAACAATTTTATATCAACTCAGATATGAAATCGTTGTCATCGAAGGACTCTTCTGCCGGTCTATTGGTTTTGGCCGAAGGACTGAACGCTGGGGAGGCTGTGATCGCCACCCGTGAGGGTTGGCTCGACGTTAAGGGCGCCTCCGGTTTCAAACTCGGATCCTATACTGAGATCTCTACCAGAGGTTAAAACTAATTATAACACAAATCCCAAGCATTTCTCAATCAATAATATTTGCCACAAATTAATAATAATTTATTATAATTTCTATTTCTATTACTCTGGTAATAAGAGTTTTTAAAAGCAAAATCAAAACATTTTATTTATTGTGATATAAAACAAATTAATAACTCTTCAATTGTAAGCAAATTCAGTGAAACAATGGTTTTTAATTTAATTGATTTATTTTTTAATCGAAAATTTCGCACAATATTTCACTTTTGTTAATAACAATACAATATTTAAAAATTACTTTAAAATTATAAATTCAAACATTTCTTTGCAAAGTATTGAAAGAAACGGTAGAAGTGGTGAACATATCAAACGTAAAGACATGAATGAAATGAATGGCCAGAGAAGTGATGTCATGAATGATGACATTCTGGGCCTTATATTCAAGTATTTAGATCTCAAAGACTTGTTTGGTTTGCAACGAGTGTCACAACAATTCAGCGGTTGTTCACAACAAGTGCTGAAGAAGAAGACAGAAGTGAGCGTTGGTTTCAATGGCTTGAAGACGAGCTCAAAGTTGAGATGTTTTAAACACAAGTTTGATGTGAAAGACTGGAACCGCTTAGACATCACACGAGCGGTCACTTTGAAAGTAGGCAGAGCTCTGGCATTGAATTACTATAGACTCGCGTCTATTGTCCGCCAATTCCGTGCCGTAAAGAAATTATATCTGTCGTCAATTGTCATCACTTTCAAGACATTAGAGCTGATGGTCAATGAGTGGCCACAACTCGACGTGATTTACATCTATGACATCGATTTCTATGGCTCGAGTCAACACTTGATTCAATCGTCGACCACTCAATGGTTACAACTTTTGGCAAAAGTTAAAAACATAAATATCGGAAGTATTCAACCGAAATATGTGTCATCTCTAAAAGATATGATCGCAAACTTGCCATCACTTCAAGCGGTCAATGTCTGGGGTTTAGTGCCGTACAATCAGACCATCAGACTATCATTACTGACCGACTGTTTGTCGGCAAACATCCAAAGCCTACGAATCGGTGTGACTCTAATGGACTTCATTCCGGCACTGGATGTGATCACAAGTAAATGCCGGCAATTAAAGCAATTATGGATTTATGAGATACAAATGCATGGACTTATGGGAGTCTTCGGATTAGAGTTTGATTACTGGGAAGAGTGGTTCGCAATGATCTGCGATCGTCTCAATTCACTCACGAGTTTATACGCTGTTTTGGCCGACATTTCTGCCAAAGAATTTGCCGAAAGTGTGGCAAAACTCAAACACTTGACTGTACTTCACATCAGTTCCGCTATTTATGTGCACCAAATCTATGAGGAGAAGCGGATGTGTTTCGACACTCAAGAGATGGCCAGATATATGCAACCAATGGTGTCGTTGAAGACACTATCGCTGTGGGGACTCAAATGTTCACCAAATCGGTGGTCAAATTTGGGCCAAATCTTCCCGAATGTCCGCCTTTTGATTGTCGATCACATGTTTTATCGCACGGATTGTGCGGAAGGAGACGATTGTAATGAGTGTTACTATCGGTGTATGGATTGGGTGTCAAAAATGCCAAATATCCAGCGCATAGTGATTCGTAATCTTCACGATGGTTACATCACAAGACATATACTGGAACTGTTTGCTGGTGTGGATCAGCTCAGCTTTGATTCCGAAGACAATGGAAATATCATACATTTGATCGAAGAGTTGATCCATTTTGTAGTCTTTTCGCTCGACAATAGGCGTCGAGAATTCCGGTTGAATTTGTTGCCAAAAGTAAAGAGAGAACTGATCCAAAGAATGGCGACAATGAATGTACCAATGAATGGGCGTGTGATTGTTGGCCATGCCTTCAGTCTCAGTGATTAAGTGATTTCAATCGGTGTCTCAAATCAATCTCTCCGTTCACTTCAGACATATTTTCATTCAGAGAAATATCATTTTCAACACAAGTTATTGCAAAATAAAATAATTTTAAATCAATTAATATTTATGTATTTAAGATTTCGATAACAATTAATACATTTTTAATTAATTTGCAACTAATTTTATTTAAACTAAAATAAGTAGAGTTTTTTAAATAATTTATATTTATAAATAAATTAATGTTTTATAATTAACAGAATATTATAAAGTATAAATTGGTAGAAAAAAGGAAAAGTTAATTTTAATTAAATATAATTTCAAAATTTTCTATAATTTAATTTAATTTAATGAATTTAATCTATAATTATATATAAATATAATTAGTTATATTTAAAATAATTTACTAATTATTTTTATATTTATAGCATTTCTGTTAATTTGGATTCAACTCAACTTTGAATGAATTTCTGACCAAAACTTCAATCAATAAAAAATCCGAAACTCAACTCAAATCTAACGACGGATTCCTTATAGTGGAGGGAATCGGAGCCATCGGTGCCCTCAAAGTGACCGTCAGTTCTGGCAAAAAGTCTTTGACGATTAGCAATGTCTACGGCTTGGGTGCGGGCGCTGTGCAAGACATTAATGGCGGCAAAAATGGCCGCAAAAATGTAGACGAAAAACAAGAAGTGAAGACAATTACCGAACCTTTATATGAGAAATGTATGCAAAACTCAATTAAGTTTTAAAAACATTTTAATTAACAATTTTGTATTCAATCAGACATGAAATCGTTGTCATCGAAGGACTCTTCTAATGGTCTATTGGTTTTGGCCGAAGGACTGAACGCTGGGGAGGCTGTGATCGCCACCCGTGAGGGTTGGCTCGATGTTAAGGGCGCCTCCGGTTTCAAACTCGGATCTTATACTGAAGTCTCAACGAGTGGTTAAAACTAATTAAAACTAAAATATAATTTATTTATCGTTAATAATAACAACTAATTGTTATAAATCATAACATATTTAATCAATAAAACTTGTGACAAAATGCACCTTGGCTAAAACATAATACTGTACCAAAACTTTATCTTAATTTAATAATTACTGAACCGGACACTAGAGGGCATGCGATCACGTGTTGCTTATTATATGAAAATCACGTGATTTATAGCAATCATACGATTGGTTAGCGTTTCGTTGGTTTACATTGTTTTCACATTTGAATCGAGTTTTGGAAACAAAAACAAAACATTTAATTAATAAACAAATCGATTGAATGAATGAATGGATAGTTTAGACATTTTGCGAAAGTTTCCCGATTTGTGTCCACAACCACTGATGGACAACAATCGGATCAAACTGTTAGTCGTTTTCGGCAAAGATGGCGAAGAAGTGATTGTCGTCACCACCGATGACATCGTCTACGGCTTCGGTGCCAACCGTTTCGGTCGATTGGGTCTCGGAGTGAGTGATGCCATCGAAAGACCGCAACTGAACGCCACTCTCACCGGAAAGAAGATAATGAAGATATGCTATGGTTTGGGACACTGTTTGGGACTCACGAGTGGCGGACAGTGCTATGGATGGGGACATAACGCGAGCGGACAAATCGGCATCGGGTCTATGAGTGACACTCCGACCCCTCAACCAATCAAAATACTTAGCAGAAGATTACAACTCAAACCAATTGAAGACATCTCATGCGGTGATAATCATTCACTAGCGCTGACTAGAGACGGCCTTATCTACAGCTTTGGGGCCAACGATCGGCGCCAATGCGGCCAAAGAGAGGGCAAATTGGTTTGGGTGCCAACGAAAGTGACACTTAATGTCAAGTTTGTGTCCATCTCTTGCGGTCGTAACCATTCATGCGGTCTCACAGATAGGGGAACAGCCTATGTGTGGGGCAGTAATGACTGCCAACAGTTGGGTCCCGAAGCGATGGTAGTCGCCGGTCAGACGTACGCCAGTCCTCACGCTTTTCACGGCCACAATGACCGTGTATTTCAACACGTGATGTGCGGACCCGACCACACAGTACTGATGACGCCGACGGGTATTATTCGTGTGATTGGTTGGAATGAATGGAAAGCCGATCCCAAAAATGGTTATTTATTTAACGCTATTAAGGTTCGCAAGAATATACAATTCAAACGCATTGACACCACTTATGACAATCGGGTAGTGATTGTGACCGAACCGGACGGACAGCTCTGTATTCTCGGCAAAGAGAAACGATGGCCGACTCGTACTCCCATTTATATACCGATCGGTTGTTCACTGTTTGACGTTTGCGCCAAATATTGCGGTCATAACCGGACTTTCGCATCGATTGTGGATTCAATTGAAACGTCGATATCATTGATGGAAAGCTGTTCCCAAAGCGATGAAGAGATCTATTGGTCTGACGGAGAAGAAGAAGTTGATGTCAAAGATGAATCAAATGTGGATATCTTTGCTGAAAGTGATGACGAGATCTATTTCTCTGATGCCGAAGAAGTGACTGACAAACAGACGAGTCATTTGCAAACACAGTCTTTGCTGTCATCACATTTTGGTGCACATAATGGCAACGATAATGCGATGAAATCCAGTTTATGTCTCACTGGATGTGGAGATAATGCGGGAACCGTTGATCTAAATGCCACCCATTGTATTGATCCGATTATAACGTAAATATTGATAATTAAAGAGCTTTTAATCATTAATTGTTTTTATTTTATTTTTATTTTTCAGTTGTTTTCAAAAGCATTTGTTTAAGTCGTTTGACAATCGATTGGACTTTGATATGATATTTATTGTCGAAAACAAAGCGATTTATTGTCACAAAACTGTTCTCAAGATTAGAAACAAAGAGTTTTGGGAAATATGTGAACAAAATATGTTTACCGAACGGGAGATCGAAATCAACGTCTATTCTTATGACACAATTAAAGCGTTTCTCAAGTTTTTGTATGGATTGCGACCCGAAGTGAATGACCAGAACTGTCAACAACTGTTAGGTTTGGCCGTAGAGTACGGCGAACGCGGACTCAAAGACATGTGTTGTCAATACTTATAAATTCTATTAATTTTATTAAAATTTTTAACTTAAGTTTTATCTTAATTTTATATTTAATTTTATATTAATTTAAGTTTAAATTTTATATTAGAATTTAATTGATTTTTAATCTCAATTTTAAATGAAATTACATAATAAATTTATATATGTTTCAAAATTAATTATTAAAAGTAATATAGTAATAATTGATTACTTGTTTTGTAGATATTTTATACCTGTAATTACTTTTATTAAATACCGGTTTACAGTTAACTATTGTTTGTACTAATTATTTTGCAATTAAAAATTTTATTAATTATTCTTAGAAATAAAGTTTTAATTACATTTGTTTTGTATTATAAAATTAATACAACATTAATAAATAACATTGAAATGAAAAATATTTAAAAATATGATTTATGCATAAATTATAGATACAATTCATAATTAAAATGTTAGATAAATAATAGTAATTTATATATGCATTTAGATAATTAAATATGAAATTTAAAGCATTTATATCATCAAAAATATAATATTTAAATGTATTTTCAGTTCATGTAATTTAAGACTAGAGTAGTATAAAATAATTACCGGGATTAGTTTAAAAATAATAATTAAAATGGAAATAATTATCAATCAATTAGTTATAGAAATTATAATATAATTAAAATGCAATTATAAGAGTAAAGTAATCGCAAAGAAGTAGTCATAAAAAGCACATCCAATTACACAACGATATCTCTGATTTTGAAATCAAAATATAATTAGAATTTAGTCAATCAATAAACGGGAATCAATGGCTTCACGATTGCCATCATTTGTCTCATTCTGACCGTCCATTCGCTGTCCACACGTCTACACAACTGTTGATCCACTCGTTTGGCCCACATTTCTCTTCACAGACTTTTGATACAATTTCTGACCCAAATTCGACTCAATCTCTACCACACCATCAATTTCTTCAATCGGATCACGTCTGTCACCAATAGGTCCAATGGGCTGACATTTGGGCGTAAGATTCCAACGATTGGGACAGACGTGTTGGCCGTGAATGTGATCACTAATTGACTGCGAACTTAGTGTCCAAAATTTGCATTTTTCAAACAGACATTGAAACCACTTCTGGCCACCACTCGTGGCCTCTATTATCTTCTTATACTTTTCAATGTTGTCCCGATTGCAGACACGGGTCACCAAATCGGTACTCGAGATGTCATCGAAGGTATAGCCGCAGCGGTGATACCGAATGTGTTGACGGATGCGTTTGGCGGTGGCGTACGTGACATCACAGCCCTCATGAGTGCATCGGTACAGTTGTCGGCGAACGCGGCCACCGCTCGGGTGTTGAACTCTCTTATGATGTTTCAAACGGGAGGCGTTCAGCGCCTGATAATCGCAGCCATATTTGTCACATTTGTGCCATTGTTTGTGTCCACTCAACCAGCGATCTAACGATCCGTTTCGGTTTGTCTTATTCTGACCGTCCAATCGTTGTCCACTCGTCGGCGCAACAGTTGATCCACGAGTTTGTCCCACATTTTTATTAACATACTTTTGAGACAATTTCTGATCCAAATTCGGCTTCAACTCTATCGCCCCTTCAATGGCTTCAATGTCACCATTTTTGTCATCAATGGTACCAACGGTTAACACCCGCGTAGTCGTACGGGATCTCCCTTTTCCGTGAAGGTTAGGCCGATTGGGACAGACGTGTTGGCCGTGGATATGATCCCTGATCGCCGAAGAATGCAGTGTTTTAAACTCGCATTCATTAAACGGACATTTATACCACACTCGATGGTCTTCGGAAACCAATATCTCTTTCATATGCCTTTCGATATTGGCTTTACTGCAAACACAGTCCACACGATCGTCGATACCATAGCCGCACCGGTGGGCAGACATGTGTCGGCGCAGTCGGTCGCGTGATTTGTAGGCGCGCTCACAATCGTGACGATCGCATCGATACGGCCGGTCGTAAACGCGACCACCGATCGGATGGCGGACTCTCTTGTGTGAACCCAAACGCTGGCGATTCTGAGTTTGATAATCGCAGCCATTGTGCGAACATTTGTGCCATCGTTTGCTGCCATCGGGTGTACTGTTCCGTTGGGTCGGCGGCGCAGCGATGGCTGCAGTAGTCACTGACTGGACATTCGCCGACAGATCACTCCCAACACACTCTTCTGCAGCCGACTCTGAGTCCACACTCGGATCGCTCTCCTCTCCCACTTCTTCTCCCACTTCTTCTTCCTCTTCTTCTTCCACTTCTTCCTCCACTTCTTCCTCCACTTCTTCCTCCACTTCTTCCTCCACTTCTTCCTCTTCTTCTTCATCGTCGGGTATAATCTCTATCTTTCCATCGGTTGAGCGGACGGACGGCACCGACGGTGGCGGACATACCGGTGGCCAATAAA